CCTGGGTGGCTCAGTCGGTTGAGCGTCCGACTTCAGCTCAGGTCACCGTCTCACGGTCCGTGAGTTCGAGCCCCGCATCGGGCTCTGGGCTGATGGCTCGGAGCCTGGAGCCTGCTTCCGATTCTGTGTCTCCCTCTCTCTCTGCCCCTCCCCCGTTCATGCTCTGTCTCTCTCTGTCTCAAAAATAAATGTTAAAAAAAAATTAAAAAGAAAGTTGGCCTCAGAGAGTGGGGACCCTCCGTGACCTGGTGCAGCTCCGTCAGCCCGTTGTTTCACTCCTTCCAGTGCATGTAGAGGCCCAAGCTTGGGCTTTTGAACCTTTAAGTCAAAGAGGTTTTCATTCATCGGAAGTAACGGGAGACTTCTTGAAGCCAGCGGGGAAGTGGATTGCAGCTAACACGTCCCTGTTAGGGCCCAACCCAAGGGAGCTGGGCCCAGACATGAGTGTCACTTGGCTAAATATCCGTTGCAGGTGGCTTGGGTTATTGCCCTCCTCATTTTCCTAACAGACACCAGGGCTTAGGTTTCCTTGGGATTTCAGGCCCTGCCATTGCATGGAAAGCCAGAGCAGTCCCGGGAACCATAGCTTCTTGCCAAGGGAGGTGGGCCGCATCCCTGGGGGGTGCTGACTGGTGGCCCCTTTCACATCGGTTGATGCATCACGTACGGGCTTTTGTCACCCTCTGGCCTATCAGGAAGCCCTTGATAGACGCTCGGTGAATGAGTTTTTGATTAAAGACAACCCCTCCATTACCTCATTGGAGTTTTAGGTAACCCACGTTATTGCCTGTGAGAGTAGTCCCGTGTCTGTGTTGACGAAACTGAGCAAGAGGGTATGGAGAGCTGAGGCCGATGCTGGGTTTGTGTAGAACATGTCACAAGTGCTGCCCCCAGTCTGAACCTGGCCCTGTGCTGGACCCTTGGAAACTCAAGTGACCGCCAGCCTCTTCTCTGTCCTCCAGGAGTCCATAGTTGACTGGAAGTTAGCAAAGAGTTGAATACAGATAATTGCAGTTCTGTTTTTTTTTCTTCTTTTTTTTAAGTTTGTTTATTTATTTTGAGAGAGAATCTCAAGCAGGCACAGAGCCCCATGTGGGGCTCAGACTCACAAACCATGAGATCATGACTCGGGCCGAAACCAAAAGTCAGACGCTTGCCTGACTGCGCCACCCAGGCACCCCCAGATAATTGCAGTTCTTAAGGAAATTCTTTGGTGGTGTATGAGCAAGAAATCCTAGTAATCCTAGGCTAGGTTTTCTTTTAAGACGAAAATGTTAATATATTCTTTGTCTTAGTTGAATGTATGGTGAATGAAACCAAACCTATTTCCTCTGAAAAGATTCCAGACGAGCAAGAGGCTTGGTTCACAAGTTAAGTGATTTGATTTTCCTTTCTGGAATAATAGAAATTGGTCCTCCTTGGATGAGAACCAGCATCCTTCCAGCTGTCTGAAGCCTTGGTTGGCATGAGAAGTTGGTTAAGAAACTCTGTTGCTGAGAAACAGACTTCAGAGGTTCATCTGACAGGAGGAACTGGGATCAGATGGATGCCTTTACCAGGAACAGGAGCTGTGAGGTGCCCGGTGGCTCAGTCGGCTAAGCATCTAGCTCTCGATTTCGGCTCAGGTTGCGATGTAGAGGTTCGTGGGTTCGAGCCTGGGCTGTGCACTGACAGCACGGAACCTGCTTGGGGGTGTCTGTCTGTCTCTCTCTCTCTCCCCCTTCCCTCCACACACACACACACACACACACACACACACACACACACACACACATACCCACTCTCGAGTGCTGGCTTTCTCGCTCTCTAAATAAATAAATAAACGCTAAAAAAAACCAGGAGCAGCGTTCAGAGTGAGTGGGAGTGAAAAAGTAGCTGTTCAGGCGAAGGAAATGACACCGGACTCCGTGAGACTCTAGTAAGTAGGCCAGGTTTTTTCTCGATCAGCTTGTTTGAAGCTCTGCAGAAACGCTCTGCCTGAGGGGTTTGTGTGCTTGGACAAACCCTGGCGTGGATGCCGCACACCCCGGGATGAAGTGTTCCTGCTGGTGTTGCACGGCTTTGGAATTTCCTTCCCTTGGAATGATTCCCGTTGCTCTCTGTCCAACTGGGGAGAAGACCCTTTCCTTGGGGTTTTTCCCGGATTCTTTGGGCCTTTCTGTGCAAAAGTCTTTGGTGAGATTTTTGAACGTCTCATTTCCCTTTATTTGATCTTGGAAGGACTGTATTTGCCTCGTGTCTTTGCTTAAGGATAGTTTTTCCTCCTAGGCATTTGTTCTGGGCCAGGGTAGTGCTAAGCACGTGATTGACCACGGTCTCGGGAAATTCTTCCCAAGAGGATTCGGTCCTTCTCACAGGTTCTGTTTCTGTCTTCACCTCACAGTTGAAACCCGGACACAGACCGCGCCCAATGTCTTAATACCTCGCTTTGGTGTTTCTTGGAATGCTGTTTCCTTTGGTCGGTTTTCCGTACATCTGTCTTCCTTTTGCCAGCGCCGTTATAAATTTCGGGGAGGGGTTTTGGCGGTTGGCCTGTTGAGTTAATTATTCTCTTCCAGATGATTTCTAATTCTCCAGGGTCGAGGTTGAGAGTTGGGCCTGGAGTCAGAGAATCCAGGACTCGTTCCAGTTTTGCTCTGTGCTGTGACCTTGTAGGCGAATATCTTCTCCTGCCTGAGCCTCTGTGAAATGGGGGTACCGATGACTCACGACCAGAGTGGGTCTGCTACCGCGTTTCAGTGAGGGATGAGTGGATGTGAACTCAGCAGTCTGGTGCCTGGCATGGAAGTCGGCTGCTACAGGATGTTTGTAACGAATACTTCTCACTGCTTTCGGTGTATAAGACGCTGAGGTATCCTGGCAGGTTTTGTCGTTGAGGAAATCAGGGCCGAGAGGTAAGGCCCTCACGGGGGTGATGGAGCCCCCCCCTCCTCCCCGACCCCAGACTCCAGCTCTCTGCCTTCCTTGATAACCTCGCCTCAACTTGTTGAGGCGGTCCCCACTCAGGGCATCTTTTTTTCTTTAACTTACGGAAATTTTCTAGCATTTTCGTTAGAAGAGAAAAGCCATCATCTGCACATCACCTGGTCTCACAGTTATCTACATTTTGCCAATTTTGGTTCATCTCACTACATCCCCCATCTGCCTTGTGTATTTTTTTTAATGTTTGTTTATTTTTGAGAGAGAGAGAGAGAGAGCGCACGTGTGCATGCAGGTAGGGGAGGGGCAGAGAGAGAGGGAGACACAGAATCCAAAGCAGACTCTGGGCTCTGAGCTGTCAGCACAGATCCTGACGTGGGGCTTGAACCCATGAACCACAAGATATGACCTGAGCTGGAGTCAGATGCGTAACTGACTGAGCCACCCAGGCGCCCCTGCCTCGTGTATTTTCAATTTTTTTTTTTCAACGTTTATTTATTTTTGGGACAGAGAGAGACAGAGCATGAACGAGGGAGGGGCAGAGAGAGAGGGAGACACAGAATCGGAAACAGGCTCCAGGCTCTGAGCCATCAGCCCAGAGCCCGACGCGGGGCTCGAACTCACGGACCGCGAGATCGTGACCTGGCTGACGTCGGACGCTTAACCGACTGCGCCACCCAGGCGCCCCTTAAAGCAGATCCCAGATTTCACGTCATTTGACCTGCAGATTTTTTTTTTTTTTTTTTTTAACGTTCATTTATTTTATTTATTTATTTATTTATTTAATTTTAACGTTTATTTATTTTTTGGGGACAGAGAGAGACAGAGCATGAACGGGGGAGGGGCAGAGAGAGAGGGAGACACAGAATCAGAAACAGGCTCCAGGCTCTGAGCCATCAGCCCAGAGCCCGACGCGGGGCTCGAACTCGTGGACCGCGAGATTGTGACCTGAGCTGAAGTCGGACACTTAACCGACTGAGCCACCCAGGCGCCCCTGACCTGCAGATTCTTTAGTGCATATCTGTTACTTGGAGATTTTTAAAAATTATTATATTTATTTACTTATTTATTTATTTTAAAGTAGGCTTCACGCTCAGTGCGGAGCGCAACACAGGGCTTGAACTCAAGACCCTGAAATCAAGGCCTGAGCTGAGATCAAGAGTCCGGTGCTTAGCTGACTGAGCCACCGAGGTGCCCCAACGATTTTTTTTTTTTTTTAAACGTAACCGCAAAGCTATAATCCTATGTAACAAAATTGACAGTAACTACTTAATATTTCAAATACCCATTCCAAGTGCAGATTTCTCCATTTCCATTGGAGAAATTGACTTCTGGCTGTAGGTGCGTTCCCATCCGGGTCTCAGCACTGGACCGGCTCTTCTGCTCACGTTGAAGTGAGGGGTTGGGGGTGCTGGCGATCGGGCTTCTCGTGTCCCATGGTTGGTTTGCGCTTGGCTGCTCGGGTGGGGTGTTGTCTGTTACGTGGGCACATTACCATGGAGGTGGCGCGATGTCACAGTCTGTTGTGACACCACGTGAGAATATTGAGGGGAAGGGAGACATAGAGCCCCTTTGCTCTTGAGTTCTGGTCGATAAACCTAGGTAGTAAGGACACTGAAAACCATGTGCGAGGCCCAGAGGTTTATTTCAAGAATTTCCTGCCTCTGAAAATCCCTCAGTGAGGTGCCCCCCACCCCCCGGGGCTCCTTCATCTCGTCGGAAAGCGAGGGAAAGCCTCTGTGCCTTCGCTCCCAGTAAACAACTGTCCCACACGGTCGGATTTGGGGACTTCGGCAGTTAGGCCTGTCGTTAACCATTTGAAGAGGCAGAGCCTCCCCATAATTTGTGTGGTTTTGTCCCTAGTTAATGGGTCATTCCGAGCCTACCCAGGCAATTTGTTGAGCGTTTGGGCAGTTAATGGTCATAACCCTGACCTTCACATTAACCTAGCCGCCTGTTGTCAAGGGCTCTCATGATCTTCAGGTAACAGCCACTGCTCCCATGAGTGTCCACCTTTTGTTTTTTTTTTTTTGCCCCCACCCCCTTCTGTTTTTTTGCAAACCAGATCGATCCACAAACCCAGGCCCCTTTCAGTTTCCTTCCAGCTCTCTCGTCTAGAGAATTTCCATGTCGGGAAGCTTTGTTTTTTTAAGGGGCCTTTGTCCCTTCTTCCTGGGGCTCAGCTCTCCCTGTGCCTTTGCCTCCTGGTCACCCACTCGGTTACTTCCTCTTCCCAGCTAGATTAGAGCAGAGGAAGGGGACGTGTTGATTTGTCAGTTTTGTCAGGGTCTGTCGGGAGAGGATAGCGCGCACTCAGTCCGGCCAAGTGTAGCGGGAACTTGTTGGCCAGCAGTCAGCAGCGACCCCCAAGGGGAGTTGGCTGAAGCTTCTCTGTACAGAAAGTGCTTCCTGATGAGCAGCCCAGCCAGTTTAGGGTTATCCTTAAATCTGGTAGCTGCTTTTTGTGTGGTACTTTGTGCCTTTCTCATGTCAAGGGCTTTATCCACGTTAATCTCATTTAACCTTAACAACCCTGGTAGGTACTACAGTCACCCCATTCCACAGGTGAGAAAACCAAGGCGCTAAGTTACACGTACCAAGAGCGTAAGAAGCGGAGCTGGTGGTTGGTCACTTGGCCTGCAGAAAGCGGCCCCGTGCCCCACCCCGCCAGCCTGCTTTGAAGCCATGAGATTTCTTGACTGCGTGCTGTTTTTGCCAAGCCCGTGGTGTGTGTTGAATTCAGCACGCTCCTGTGCCCTGTGGAGTGGCCAAATAGGCATTCCTTAGAATGGGCACCCAGATCTAGTCTTTGACCCGAGAGGGAGGAGCTGGCTGTCACCAGCTCTGTGAGTGGGAATTTAAATGCCCTGGAAGCTTAGTGCGGGAGGCACGAGACAGATCTGACCCTCGGCAAGCCGGTGGCTTCTTCCCGTTCCCTCCTGGACACCCGTTCCAAGTCAGTCCCCCAGCTTTGGTCGGTTGCCTGTCCCCGATGGCCCCGGCGGGCCGACCCTGGGACATTGCCAGTCCGGGCTCTGGGAATAAGGTCGTCCCTGCTCAGGCTGACGCCTCAGGCTTTCTCCTGCTTACTGGTCTCAAGAGGGCTTGGCAGGTCTAGATTGAAATGATTAGCGCAGTGGGGCTTCCCCCACTTTTCTTGAGGGATTATGTCACAGTCTATTAGGCAAGCTCCCTCGGTATTTAATCCCACTCTGACATGGGCTTTGCTGGCAGTCTGTGAGGTGGCACCTCTGAAGCCTGGCTGCTGTTCCTGGAGCCTGCTTTTGTGCCGGCGTGTCAGTGGTCCCCGGGGATTTCTGCCCCTGTCCCGGCTGGTTCGGTTTTCTTGGTTTTTGTTCTTTCCCCTTATAAGGAAGACAGACCCCATGTTCATACACAAGTTAAGCTGGGAATTTCCTGTGTTATCAGAGGGCACCCCCTCAGGTGACCAGAGGTTAGCCCAGGGCTCCGAGAAGTTTGAGAGCACAGCATGGCCAGATGGCACTGAGGACGCACAGTGGGCACTGGAGGGTCACCGGCCTGGTGTCCCTTGCGGTCTCCCATTTTCCCTTCGTAAGTCGCCAGCAGGTTTTTTGTTTCTGTTTTTTAAATACTGTTTGTCAATTTTCCCCAAGTCCGTGTAAAGAAACAAAGTTCTAAGTATTCGTGACCCATTTAGTAAAAAGTTGCAGGATAGATTCTCACTGAGCCCAGATATCCTGGAGGTGTTCGTACAGGTAACGCAGAGCCCCTCTTTCGCTGAAAGTCTTTGGAGGGTGGATTTGAACACTGTGCTTCCTTGCTTTGGGAAGTCCTTCGGCATGAAAGGGCTTTCTTCAGGAATCATTCTTTTTTTTTTTTTTTTTTTTTTTTTTAAGTTTATTTATTTTGAGAGAGTATGTGTACGAGTGGGGGAAGAGCAGAGAGAGGGGGAGAGAGAATCCCAAGCAGTCTCTGTGCTGTCAGCACAAAGCCCGATGCTGGGCTTGAACTCCCAAACCATGAGATGAAGTTGGACACTTAACCGAAGGAGCCACCCAAGTGCCCCCTAGGAATCTTTCTTGATGGTGGTGAGGACTTTGGAGTCGCTCGGGTGGTCTTTGTAGCCAGCCCCCGGGTGTTAGGTGTAGACCCGGCCCGCGTATTCAAGCAAGCTGGCTTGTGGGTGCAGGACAGGGATGGAGCCTGACCCTGACCCTGGGCAAGACCTTGGCCTGCCCTGTCACGCTGTGGGCGGAGGTAAGGGAGTGTCTGCAGTGTCTGCCCTTGACAAGTCCCATCACCTGTCCTCCCTTTGCGGTCCACCTGCCTGAGAGGAGAGCGTTCACGGCGTCTTGCCATCCCTTCCACTCTGTAGGCTGCTTCTGGCTCCATGAGGGTCTTTTGCTCTGGGAGTCTTATTTTCTTTCATCAGGGCTTCTGGGAGCCCGGGCCCTTCTCGTCTTCCTGTGTCCCCTCCGTCCCCACCTGCCCGAAGATTCTGGCCGCTTCTCCGACATGTCCCCCTGAGCTTTTTCCTTTCCAGACTTGGTTAAGAGTGATGCGCTTTTTAGCTTTTCTTCGTGGAGTACGGGCCTCCATCCCCGCCATCCTCGGTTTGTCTCTGGGCCTTCCTCAGCTCCATTTTGTCTGTCTGTCTCCCTGTGTTTCTCCTGAGGTGTGGCAAGCTGGTCTGCCCACGGTGTTCCCGGCAGGGAGGGACGTGCGTCCTGTTTGCTGCGGGAACCACACCCTGGCCTCTGCCGTGGTTCCAGGCAGCAGGGAGCCTGCCCTGCTCCCTCCGGCTGGAGAGCTCCCCGAAACCAGTTTCCCCAGTCGGGTGGCACTTTTACTGTGGGCAAGGCCACTCCAGCCGAGGCAGCTTCGTCCCACACCCCGTTCCGTGGGCCGCACCCAAGCCCAAGCCGGAAGGTGCCTCACTTGTCAGGAATGCCGGCTCCTCCCCGCTTTACTCTGCATCTTTCTGCGGGGCTGCCCCCCACCCCCCCACCCTGGCGATTTGCAAGGAGACGACCCGAGACGCACGTCGGTCACCTCCCTGACTTGTTTCCTTTGAAACATCTGAACAAATTTTGTGTCCCGCGTTGTGTGTGAGAGAGCTGCCCTTGACCTCTGCCGGGCTGTCTGTGGGGTTGGGGCCGCTTGGGTTTTAAGCTGACCTGACCGCTTTGAATGGGGAATGAGAATTAAGAGAGGCTCCTTGACATTTGGGGAGCAGCGCCACCCGGGGCGGACAAAGGGGGTTGCGTGAGTGAAAGGACGCGAAGGACTCTTGGAGCATCACCAGTGTGGTGTTTCTCTACGAAGCCCCGTAGAACCTGCGGGGGCTCTGGGGGCGGGCTTGTTCCCACTCTGACCCCGGGCCCGTCTGGGCAGCAAGGTCTTTTCTGCCTGGATTAGATCCTTTCATGGTTAGCCTTTCGGATCCTGGGTTCATTATGCCCCTGTTTACGTTCTCTTCGTTCTCTTCTGGGGTCCTAGTTAATGGAGAAGAAAGGAATTTTTTTTCTTCTCACACACCCTCTTCCATGGCCACGCATGAGGAACTGTGGGAGCTTTTAGAAAAGATTTGCGGAATTTATTTTATTTTTATTTTTTAAACCAACTCCTGTACTTGTGACAACTGTCTCTGTGGGTTTGGCCAAAAACTGGATTCTTTTTCCAGTTGCTTTCCTTCTTAACCCTATTTATCCCCTTCCCTCCTCCCCACCCTGTAGATATTTAGAATGTTCTGTGGGCAGCAACTGTCATGTTTGGAGAGTGCTTTTATTTTTGAAAGTACTAGGGATGGGGGTGACGTGGGGGCAGTGACAAAATCAGGAAATCTGTAGGAAGGGGAGCCAGAAGGGATACCGGGGGTCGGCAGCAGTGGAGTGCGGGGGACCCGACCCTGACAGTTGTTAGGAGGGGACGTCAGGAAGGGTTTGGGGCCTGGGACCCTTCGCTCACCCCTTCCCCTTTCTTCACCTGCTCGGTTGCCCCCCCGGCTCCCCAGCCCAGAGCTGTGCAGCCCAGGCTGTGGGTCAGACCTCTGGAGACCAGAGCTTGTCACTGGTAGTTCTTACGGGGCTTTGGTGAAATACATAGTGTCCTTGGGCACAGCCCGAGCCTGCTTGTGGGTCGGGTCCAGGAGACCGGGGGCCGCCTCTGGTTTAGAACCACGGCCCTGTCCCCACTGTGCACAGCCACCACCCTCAGCTCACAGGACACATCCATAGGACTAGGACCAAGCCCGTGACCTCAGGCCGCTATGCACCACTGCACTCTGGGACGGATGCTAATCCGTGTTCCCTGAGAGACAGCAGCCTCTCTGGTCAAGTAAGTCCTGGAAATGCTCTTAAAGCAGGGCTGCGCAGGCTTCTGGACGGTAAGACCTCTGGGAACTTCCATTAGAGCATTAAGCACTGTGATGCCCCACGGTGGGGATTTCCTCCCCTCATTTGACCACAGAACCTTGTCGCTTTTCTTCTTTAGAATTCGAGGTCCTTGGAGCACTCTGAGAAATACTGACTTAGGGTAGTCCCCGTATCAGTGGCTGCACCTTGAAAATCCAGCGGTGTCGGGCCCCCACCCGCTGTCCCCCAGCCAGGTTACACGAGAGTAGGCGCAGTCCTTGGGGAGGGGGGAGCCGAGAGGCAGCGGCCCCCAGTCCTCCCGAGGAAGGCCTCGCTCTCTTCCTGTCCACCGGGGCCACCCCGCAGCTCTTGGACATCCCCTCTCACACCCCGGCTTCATACTGGCTTTGGGATTGGTTATAGGGAAGATGGTGAGTTGGAAGAAGGTGAACTGGAGGATGATGGGGCCGAGGAGACCCAGGACACCTCCGGAGGGCCCGAGAGGAGCCGGAAGGAAAAGGGGGAGAAGCACCATAGCGATTCGGACGAGGAGAAGTCTCACCGGAGGCTGAAGCGGAAGCGGAAGAAAGAGAGGGAGAAGGAGAAGAGGAGGTCGAAGAAGAGGAGGAAATCCAAGCACAAAGTAGGTCTGGGAGGGTGCGCCGGGGCCGGGCTGCGTGCACCGGGCCGGAGCAGAGCCCCGGGGGCCGAGCTCGCCTCGGAGGCCAGAGGGCACGCGTAATAGTGGTGCTTATTCCTTCCCCAAATTGGATAAACAGTTTTATTTTTCTTTAAAGAGTCCGTGGCTCATGCTCCATTGCCACCAAATGCCCTTAGGTGAGGTGTTTGGCAGGGAGCGCTGGGCCCTTCCGGCACATTCCGGCAGCGTCTGTCCCTGGGCTGACACTGCCCGCAGCGGAATCACTAAGTCCGTTTCTTCTGCCACTGCAGCGCCACGCTTCTTCCAGTGATGACTTCTCGGACTTTTCAGATGACTCGGATTTCAGCCCCAGCGAGAAGGGGCACCGCAAGTACAGAGAGTACAGCCCCCCGTATGCACCGGTGAGTATCTGCCTCGCAGGGGCCCCCGCGGAGCCGGGTAAACCGCCCTTGTTTGCTAAGCACTTGCTGCCTGCTGGGCATTCTTGCACCGCGTGTTACGTGGGTTTTAAGCCTGCAAGATGAGATACTGTTTTTATCCCCGTTTTACAGGTGAGGAAAACAGAGCCGGGAAACCAGCCAGGTGGCAGCCTTGTAGTGTAGGAGCTGGGGTTCGAGCCCAGTCAGTGGCTGATCTCCATTAGCCATCCTGAGACTTCCCTCTTCTTCCCGTGGCCTTGGCAGGACTCAGGATGTCCCCGTCCCCCAGAAATCTGCTGATTTATCCTTGGTGTAGCTGACCGTTGTCCACCATTCAGAAATGACCTGTTGTGGAAAATTGGAGCAAATGATCTCAAGGGCCGTAGAGTCAGAAGTCAGATGTTTATCTTGTTATAACACGGAGCTTAAATGGGCATTTAGATTATTTGTTTGGTTTCTGTACTGTTTTTTCTCCCCAGCAAAATCGGTAAGAAAAATTGATGTAGATTTTCAAGTTTTGATGAAAAATGCTTCTAAAGTTAGTAGCTCTAAAATACATCCCTGTGTCCCATGACTCAGCATCATCTGTCCTAACGAATAATTCAATCATATAATGTTACTCTTGACGTTGATATGCTAGCAGAGATTCAGACTTTCAACCTGAGACAAGAAATGGAGGGCACACCACAGCTTCGATTAGGAACTAGAGTTTGAGGCTTTTTTTTTTTTTTTTTTTAAGATTTTATATTTAAGTAATCTCTACCCCCACATGGGGATCGAACTCACAACCCCGAGAGCGAGAGTCACACGTGCCACTCACTGAGCCAGCCAGGCACCTGGGGTTGAGGGATTTTAAGGTCTGCTAATGTAGTCCTATGTGTCTATATACTTACGTTCTGTATTTTCTCATAACGAGTGTGGATTTTTTATTTTTTTAAAATTATTTGTTTACGTAGGCTTCACACCCAGCACGGAGCCCAACATGGGGCTTGAACTCATGACCCTGGGATCAAGACCTGAGTTTGAGCTCAAGAATTGGATACTTAACCGACTGAGCCACTCGGGCGCCCCACGAGTGTGGGTCTTTTAAATTAATATAGATTGTTTCTTAGAACAGTTTTAGGTTTGTAGAAAATTGAGCAGATGCCTTAAATGTTTATTTACTTTTTTTTTTACTTTTTTTTTTAACGTTTATTTATTTTTGAGACAGAGAGAGCAGGAAAGGGGGAGGGTCAGAGAGAGAGGGAGACACAGAATCGGAAGCAGGCTCCAGGCTCCGAGCCATCAGCCCAGAGCCCGACGCGGGGCTCGAACTCACGGACTGTGAGATCGTGACCTGAGTCGAAGTCGGACACTCAACCGACTGAGCCACCCAGGCACCCCAATGTTTATTTAGTTTTGAGAGAGAGAGAGAGAGAGAGACAGAGAGACAGAGCATGAATGTGGGGGGGGGAGGTGGAGAGGGAGGGAGACACAGAATCTGAAGCAGGCTTCAGGCCCTGAGCTTGCCAGCACAGAGCTCTATCAATGCGGG